TTCCCTTCTTATATGTATAAGAAGCATCTGTTGAGTAATGAATCAGAGAGCATAATATGCGGAACAAGTTTGATTGAGATTTTTACTTTTCCTTTAAGAAAAAATGATTAATAACATAATTTATGCATCTAATAGATACATATAAATGTACATGTATAGCTTTTTAAAAACAAGAATCTGTAATTGAAAATGTGAAAGTGAAGAGTTTAGGTAATAGTTCTTAACCAAAATTTAATGACAGTTCATTCCTTCCTAGTCTCTATATAACTTTTAATTACGGCCGTGCCCTCTCCCCTTCAAAAGATGTCTAATACATACTTTTAAATTCTGTTTATGTATCAAGAAATTTCCACAGGTACTTGTGGACAGGATCCCCCCCCCCCCAATTCAACCCCAATGTTTGTTGGACATTTTTTCCCACAAATTATATTTATTACACTTATTCATCATGTGTACCATAGGAAAAAATCGAGTACAAGTACCTGTGGAAATTTCTATTTGCCCCCCCCCTTCCCCAAAAAACTGAAATTGTTTTCTACGGGCTTGACAACAGGTACTTGTGGACAGACCCCACAAATTATATTTATTGCACTTACTCATCATGTGTACCATATGAAAAAATTGTGAGAACCCCAAAATAATCGTTCCATACAAAAAATGCCTCACTATGTATAGTTAAAATATTAATTTTTCATATTTCTTGATGAAATTAACATTAATAAAATCAACACAAAATTAATACCGTATTACATATCACTTGAATTTATCATAAAGCAGAAAATCTGTTCTGCCGGCTTCAAGGCCAGCTCAGGAACCTAAAGATGTCCTCATTTTCCAAGTCCAGTACAGAACGTAAATTAAATGAAATAAATCACACGATCACTGGGAAGAACTCAAAGAAAGAAGACTCTTGAGGAAAAGATATTTTGATTCGACTTATAGACTGAAATAAACCCATATTCTCTTTTTGCCACTCTTTCCTGGTGCCCTGGGACTCTGAATGTAGGATCAGTATTTTTCTCACAGGTCCGTTGTACGGATTGTACGGGGGGGGGGGGGGCAGACCTTCTGAAAATAGTCTTTTGTTGTAGTTTTAATATGTAAATTTTGATTTAGTTGCTGCTTGCACCCTCCCCACTCTTTGTTTCTCTACGATCATACATAGGCGAATCCCAGCAAAAATGTAATGACCCCCCCCCCCCCTCCAACACACACTTTTTTTTTAAATGTGTATTGCGATAGGACTTAAAATTGGAAAACATTTTCTGTATATCTCTACATCGAAAAATATAAAACAAATTTTTTTTTTATATTTCCTTTTTAAAACAACATAGATAATTATGCATAGCTAATTAAATACTGAATTAAATATTTATCTTTGCAGACAATATGCTCTGGGTTATAGAACATGATGTGAAAGCGTATCGTAATGCACCTTGTAATCCGTTGGATTTTCAAATTTAAGGCCAATGCGAAAACCCAAAGACGCCGACATTTTATTATGCTACTGTAATCGAAGATCCGGGGGGCATACAGTTTTTGTCCTGTCCACCTGTCTATTTGTCTGTTAGACTGTGTTAGCCTCTTTGTCCGCAAAAACTTTAACTATGCCCATAAAATTTGATTGGTTGGAACTACTGCTTTCATATTTCTTATGTGTATTCCTAGTAACAAGGACTTCCTTCAGGTACCAACATATTTGACCTCTTGACCTTGAACTTGGAGTTTGATCCTCTTTCGCAAAATTTTACCAAACTATAACCTTGGCCAAAACTTTTGAACAGTTGGTGCTACGGCATTTATACTTCACATCTGTATCCCTTGTGATAAGTCTCCTCCTTGGGTATAAATATGTTTGACCATTTGACCTTGACCTTGGAGTTTGACCAACTTTTAAACAACTTTAGCCTTGACAATAACTTTTGAATGAATAGTACTAGGGCTTTTATATTACATAGGTAATTTTCTTGTGACAAGACCTGTCATTGTATACCTTTAATTTTGACCATTTTACCTTGACCTTTGATTATTTCCTACTTTTGAAAAACTTTAACCTTGGTTTTAACTTTTGAACAGTTGGTGCTAAGGCTTTTTTAATACCACATGTGTATTCCTTGTAACAATTAAGACCTTCCCTCAAGTACAAACAATTATGTTCCCTTGACCTTGGAGTTTGACCTTTTAAAGAAATTAACCTTGGCCATAACTTTTAAACTGTTGCTGCTGTGGCTTTCATACAAGTAAATATTTCACAGTATATTCTTTGTTCAAGACCTTTATTTGGGTAATAACATTTTTTTTTGTCTTTTGATCTTGACCATGGAGTTTGACTTGCATTTGAGAAACTTTTAACTTTTGCCATAAAATGCCATATGGGGGCATCAGTGTTTCAAAAATCACATGTTGTTCAGTATCCAAATTGGGCATAAAACATTTACAATGATCCTTTAAAGCAGTGAGTTGAACCTAATAAATTACGACTATAGAAATTATGATAATTTATTTCGATGTATGGTCTAAAAAAACGTTTATTATACCTCTGTGAAAACTAGCTTACAAGTGAAAAATCACTAGTAAAATAGAATTTGATTGGCCGAGAAAGTCACGTGTCCATCATGTTTGCCCTGCAACAAAACGTCGTGTTTCACGATTGTGACGTCACAATTAAACGAGTGAGGAGTTAGATTGTTTATAGCGACGCTGCTAACTTCGTTCGCGCGGTAACAACAACTTAAAATTCACCCCAAAAAATCACCTTAATTAATGGAATTGCATACAGATATCAGATTAAACGTTCTTTATTAAAATGTTTGCACTTTTCAAAATTCGTTTATGGAAATACAGCTAACATACGTCATGAGACGTCACAGTCTAGACGTTCTAAATGTCTCGTGCTGTTTGAAGAGGCGGATCTTAAAATTAAGTGAACAATGCACTCGCCCAACGGTCGCACCGTCAGCATATTATCGTTGATTGATTGTGTCGATTTAAATGTGTAAAAATGTAATGGTGTTTGAATGTTCCTGGTGTGATCACACAAACTTGTCACGTAGGATTTTTTTTTAATGAAACGAGGCTATTGGTGTACCTGTAACTTACATCTCTTTCATATCGTTCTCATCAAATGCATGTTTGCTTTATTCATTGGATCTCCTTTGTAATTCCTGCATTTTGGTTAATTCGGTATTATAAACAATTTATTGCATAATAGTGAGGGAGACATAAAGATTTCTTCGCAAATGAAAAATCATATTTCTCTCTGGCGTTGCCTTCGGGGAGTATGATTTTTCATGGGCGAAGAAATCTTCAAGTTGCCCTCGGGGAATATGATTTTTTATAGGCGAAGAAATCTTCATGTCTCCCTCACTATCATGCAATAAATGCAAACTGTGAACTTGTCAACTGCGAAACACACAAAAGGGTATCGCTGATATCATACAGAGTGTATCATTGCCTTGATCAGGCCCATAGGAAGCAAATTCAGGGTTTTTTTTTGGGGGGGGGCACAGCCATACATTTTCAGTTGACAGTTGAGGGGGCACTACTACCATAAATTTCCTGACAAGCAAAAAAAAGGTTACCAACTACCAAAAATTCCTTGACAAGCAAAAAAAAAAAAAAAAGAAGGTTATCAGACGTTTCTATTGAGGTGGCACAAGCTATAGTAACTATGTCTACTATAGTAATCTATATATCGGCAAAATTATTGGGGGGCACGCCCCCCCCCCCTCCCTCGGTTCCTACGGCCATGTTGATTAAATTTAGGGTCACTAAGGAAAGAATGTTTTGACTGGATGAATGGTCTGAAAGAACATGTGTTAACTTGTCGAGTCGGTAACACATAGATGGGGTTTGCTTATAACCAGAGTGTGTCATGGTTTGATGCAAGGTCATTTGAACGAGTTCAAGGTCATCAACGGAGAAACAACATTCCTTAACTGTCTTTCTACTGGTGAGACATTGCAAGTTGATACCCCTTACAAGATTGCTTATAACCTTAGAATGTGGCATGACCTTGACTCAAGGTCACTTTTTCCTGTTCGCAGCTCCAACGGAAGACCTACTCGTTGCTTTGCAACGAGCTCTGCTCTAGTTTTCATAAATTATTCTTCTAGTACACATTTACAATGTATTCCATAAGAAAAATCCAAAAAATAACGCAGAATTAACGTTTTACTAAAAAATCATATTGACGATTACCCTCGCTCATCTCGAAAATCTTAAGCAGAATTTAATTCTAATGAATCAATTTCAACTTCTTTATCAAAATTTTCCCGAACTTTTTCGTAGACCTCTGACTTTTCCCTTAGTTCTATAACACTCGGAACTCGAGAGTTACACGCTAGGTGTCGTTTTTGCATCACTTCCGTAATTTCTACTCTGACATTTCCAAATCTTGTATTTTTCACGTTTGACGATGAATATTCGGATTATTATGGGATGCCTGGGCAATTAAATAGCACGATTAAAGACAAAAATATATACCGAAACAAGATATCATGACACATTTCGGTGACATGTATTAGGTAAATGATATTTCGGGCCTGATATCCAAGAGGGGTCCGGAAGTGACTTACCTTCTCTATTTATAATACCGCGGGTATGATTTTTTAGTAAAACGTTAATTCTGCGTTATTTTTTTGGATTTTTCTTATGGAATACATTGTAAATGTGTACTAGAAGAATAATTTATGAAAAAATTACATAAAAATATTTTTTGACCTGTGGGGCATATTTGGGGGGGGGGGGGGTCCTGTCCACAAGTACCTGTGGAATTAAGAGAGTTGTATCTACCAAAAATGAAACGTATTCCTCTTTTATCATACCTTGTTAAGTTCCATTTATTATATTGGGAATGAAATATTTCTTTTGTGTAGAATCTTACAATTAAAAAAATGTACTGTCTTACAACTCACGGGTCTGTTCAGTGATCATTTCCAAACAGGCTAAGATGTAATTTGATAAAATACCTGGGAAAGTCCTAGACTTTATTCTCCTCAACACAAGCACACAACAGATGTCACAATCACAACAAGGTAGTCCACTTTACTTACACCTGGTTCACAATTAATAAATGGAATCAAAAATAGTTCTATACATCGCCCAGCGATTGTCTCAAAGAGAGGGAATCTTTTACAAATGTGTACAAAACATTAAACATCTTAATCAGGGACACATACAGTACAACAATAAGACACTTGGACTTGATGGAGTCAAATAAAATGTGATTATTTTCTCTGGAGATTCGTTGCATTAACAGCAAATGTGTGTCCATGAATCTACAGGGAAATATACCTTAGAACTAAAATAATGGTTAAAGCATTAAAAATCTTTCTGAACAAAGATGTAAAGCAAGTGTACAGAATGAAAGACCGTTAAAGGGCCATGGTTTTAGTGTTAATGTGTAAATACATGTCGTAAAATTGTAGAATAGCATGTCCAGCATGCAGAGACTGTGCACAGCGAGATCTCAGATGACCAAGCATCTGCCAAGCAATAAGAAGGATCTTTGGCAAGTAAAGCAATCATTTGGCATTGAAGAGCGGTTTTGCATTCACCCATTCTGGTTCGCAATTTCTTTTCTATGCACGCGATTCCATAACAATTTCGTCTGACTTGAGCTTCAACAGATGCTTAGATTGATCTTTGCTTTCTTTTTCAGCCTTTAACTTTTCTTTCTCTTTTCTGCGTTTTAATCCGGGGCTCTGGCGTAGTTTGACTAAAATGTCCCTTTCTCTTCTCGGATCTTTCATGTCCTCAAAGTATTTGTATTTTGGTTTAACATCTTCTTCCTCCGTTTCCGCTTTAGTGCATCCATAAATGTAACACTCTGTTACAGTTTTGTCGGTCATAAGCGGAGGTTCACTGACTGCAGAAACACATTAATATACATTGTGAAAATTACACGTCTTAACAAAAAAGAATCTGTCTTGACAATTATTCCTTTCTTCAAAATTAGTTTGTAATATTTACCTTTGTATGTGATTTTTGAGAATTCAAGATGTGGATCGGGCACAGTGGCTATTATGATAGGAACCCCAGCGTAAAGCACAGAGTCAGCAAAGCTTGCCTCAACCTAAATAATGAATAAGACAAACATTGACAATTAAGCAATTGTTAAAATTATTATAAAAAACCAAATAAAACTTTTGGAAGAATGAAGGAAATGGTATACATGTACATGATCTTTGAAAAAGAAAATTCTTTTTTTTTTTATTTTGTCAACGTTTTGTGAATCATAACCATGACTTTAGAATCTGAGGTACCTTCAATATGAGATCATATTCAAAAACTCTCAGTGTAGGTGGGGATAACATCTAAACTGGGTTTATTAGTAGATCGATAAAATGGGACAATAAAAATCAAAAATTTTAAAATGTTACTTCAAGCTTACAAGAAATTTTTGTTTGTTTGTTTGTTTTGGGGTGTGTGGGATGAAAATCTGAGGGCGCTTGATAATTTATGCACAAACGACTTGAGTTACTGGGGGAGAATATGAGCTCCATAATATTTCTGTGATATTGTCTGTGAAAACGTATCTTCTGATGTTTGTAAGCATTAGACCTTACCGCAATACAGTACCGGACATCGAGCACCTTACACATGTGGAGCCGGGAGGGACACATGGAAGGGATCCGGAGGGGGTAGTCTCGCCAGGTTTTGTGCTGCCCTGGACGAAGACTCTCACAAATCTTGTGGTCTTTTAGGAGCAGTGTCCGGGTATGAACTCCTCCATATGATATGATCTAAAAAGATAAGTATAAATGTATAACTGGTCTCGTACAGTAAGCTTTCCCCTCTAAAATCTGTCCTCCCGGAAACTGGTTATGTAGTAACCCCCCCCCCCGAAAATTTGCTCTAGAGTAGAAATTAGGAATCCCCTCACAAAAAAATACAATAGAGTATGATTTTCCCAAGGAAATTCAAACGCCAGATTCAGTTTTCTGGAGGGGTATCCTGCTCTGTTAAATAGTTATATAGAGAGTGCGATTTCTCCTAAAGCCGATTCCACCATTTTAAAGCGAAACTGATGTTCGGAAAAATGATACCTTTCCGTCTCTCTGTCTGTGGTAACATGGCATATTTAAATGTTTTGTTAGTTTGCCTTTCTTTTTTTTTTTGGGGGGGGGGGGGGGAGGATGAGGGTAAAAACATGTTTTTTAAACTTCGTTTTGATTGTTTGTTTTGTATTTGTTACTTGTTTTGTTTTGTTTTTTCCCTCTCAAGATCGAATGACTCGAATCAAATGCTCACATGGAATGGAACCGATCAATGTTGTAAAGTTTCGAGTTTTTAAAAAAGAATCTTTTTCTACATATCGACCCATAGTTAAAAGAAACTGGGTCGGTAGAGGGCAAATAACTGTAGATTGAAAACTGTACATATCTTGTCCCCGGGACTTATAAGACCACAATCGGGGATTAAAGTTTTACATTGCTGTATATAGGAAAAAAATCCTAAGAACAGCAGGGTCATGATTTGGCATATGACTATGCAAGCATCCCTAGAGAGTGCAGTTTTAATTTTCTTCAAATCATGGCCCCAAGAGTAGGGCCATAATCGCCATCTTGGATCTTAATATTTCGGGGGACCTCGACTCACAAGATTTGAATCTATACATGTACAGCTGTATCTTCATTTTTCCTACCGATTGCGGATTGAATCTACGTTGAGAAAAATTGATTGAATTTTCCGTCTGCCGATTTGCACATGCCATTTTAAAAATGGAGCGATCCAAAATTTAATGTTCTTGATACCTAGCAGTAACACAAATAAAAACGAAATTAACATAAGTAGAAAATTCTCACTATCTTAAACAGAGATCATGAAGCCCCGAATTACTGAGTATATAAGAAAAGTATAGAAAACAGAAGTTTGGCGCGGATTTTATTTACTTTACGAGCATATTAGAGTTGGCAACTTTTATAATGAACACACCCCATCCTGAAACCAACCCCAGTGCTTCTTATCTTTGTTTGTTACCTGCTTAAGTTGAAGACTGACAGCACCAGATTTTCGTATAGACATGTTATGCACAACAATTTCTGTCCGCAGATTTTCTCCGGAAACATAAGCCCGTTTTGGCAGGGTAATAGAACAAGACACGTGACCTGGTCTGCAACAAACCGTGTGGACTGCTTTTTCTGCGTAGTCCTCTAGAGGATGTGGTGTCTAAAGTCAGATGGTTAAAAAAGGTAATTAAACACTGACAACAGGAGAGATGTTTTAATTATATGATATAATACAGAGGATACAAGAAAGAAATAATAAGATATTATAAGCAAAATGACCATTTTTCTCAATTGTTTGTTTGCTTGATTTGAAATTTCAAATAGATTGCTTAGAATATTTTTATGAGAGAGAATTTTCCACGGAGAGATTTTGTAATATGAAGATGTTCAGCTAAAATACATGTACAGTGGTGATGCATTTGAATGTTTTATTTCTCACGTTTCTTTTTTAATTATAAGGTATATTAGTAATACATGATAACCTCAAAAATATAAGGTTGTTCACATTGGATCATATGTAGAATTTTTTTCTTTTTATTTTTTTGGGGGGTGGGGGGTATATATTTTGACAAACTGCAATTTAACTGTTCCTTGTGTTTATGGAATAAACCATCTTCGCTAGTCAAGGGTGACGATTTGCTCCTCTCCTCTGTTATTTTACACATGGATAAATGGTGTTTATTCTGCTCATTTGAATATCGGCCATATTGGAGCTATAATGGCGGCAGATTCCATGAAAGTTTATATAGAGAAAATATTTTTAAAAATTCAAAAATTTTTATCTACTAAATATTTCGAATAAAGTTCTTCCGACATTTTGGATTTTTTTTTAAATATCTTCTACCGGAAGTGATAGGATTGTTGATACCAAAGTGAAAGTTGCGACCGCCTTTTTGATTTGAAAATTCGAAGCGAGAGTATGTACTTGTTTTGTTGAAGGAAAGAGCACAGAACTGGCGTATAAATTTGTCATTTTTGATGATGAAATGTAAGTGTTTATTGCAAGTTAACGAAGTTCTTCCTCTAGCATCTGCTAATAGGTATAGTAGAGAGCCTATTTTTATAATATATATTTATCATTTCGTGATTAGTTACGACCGTCCTTTTAATTTGAAAATGGCAATTTTGTGTATCATTGTGCACCTACTTATTGCTAAAAATAACTGGTATCATGATGTTGTAACAACATCATGATACCAGTTATTTTTAGTTATATGGGTAGAATTTTGTGTGATTACGTTAACAATTTGTTACGTAATCACACAAAATTCTACCCATATAACTATGACCCAGACAGAGGCATTGAAGAAAAAAACCGAAATGAACCGGGCTTGCAGAGTTTAATATCAAAATTTAAAGAAATGGAAAATTTAGAGTTTATGCAGGACCTTATGAATATTAATGAGAAGTAATGTACATGTAAATCACGTGGTATCAATCGCATGAATAAATTGCTAACCATTTCTCCATTTGAACTTTGGACACACAAAAAAAATTATTTCAAGTTGTTTTATCATGGCTATAATGCAAATTTTACTTTTGAAAGAATCCTTTGATAAGAAGAAAGTGTTTTTGGCAATTCGAACGCAACTTCCTGTCAACTCCTGGCGTGAATGATCTCAAAATATATAAAAATAAGCTAATATTGACATTCGTATACTGTCCGTTTTTCCCTATGTATGGTTCGTGCTGTTTGCCATTTTAAAACTGGAGTTTGTTCTTGAGCAACAGACAAGCAATTATTTACTATGTCAATCTTAATAACTGTGACATGATAAGGCTATATTTCTACAATTATGATCAAAAGATCTGCGCAGTTAAAACTACACTGAAATACGTAGCTATTCTTCATGCAATTACTTCCTCATTCTTTTGAAAATTTCTCATACTGAGAGTAGACAATCAATGTACTTAAGATTTACCTTTTTTAGCTGTTACATTCACCACGGCGTACATGTAGTTATGTTCTGATTTTTTATATTATTATTATTATTTAGTGAGGTGCATGAGTATAAATACAAATGATATTCCAACCATAGAGATCGGAAAAAATTACCGAGTTAGCTGATGAATCACCGGGCTCTCTACTTGGATCAAATTCCCGTAGTACGTTAATCGTGCGCCGAGTACTGATACATTCCCCGTTGTACCGAATAATAATCCCCTGAACAGTGTACCGAACATGTGCATCTGGACCTTCAAAGGAACAGGGTACTCCCTCCGGAACTTTATATTGAAATGGAAACATGTGGCGCCCTCTCTGTAGAACCTCTCTTCCTTCCCATCGGCTTTGTTCATTTACTATGATGAGTAATCAGAAAAGATAGAAAAATTTCAACAATGACAGAATTTAAATAATAAATATCCATTTTTCACGTGAATAAAGAAAACTATTTTTTAAAAATAATGTAGAATTCACCTCTTCCCCACAAACAGAACCTATCGTCAAAGTATATTTCTTCCTTTTCATGTTCAATGTCCGTTTTATATGTTTCCCGCTGCACACTTTCACTCCATTTGGCGCGGGCTGCTCCCCTAAATCGAACTTCTACTCCTTCAAAACATAAAAGACACGTGGTTCTTCAATAAAGTGCACACTCGTACATTGTTTACTATTATACCACCACTGACAATAAGTCGGACTTCTAGCTTATGGTGCTTTATAGCTTGCCAAAAAAAAGCAGAAGGAAAACCATTACATAGTACATATATACAGTGTATTTATAAAACAATGAAAACCATTTTTCCCCTAAATCGTCAGTTCATTTTCAGGTATAAATCCTGATAACAAAAGGACGGCGTTATTGAACTTACAAATTATTAGTTTTTGTTCGTATTTTTTTAAGTGCAAGCATTTAACAATTCTTATTTGATTTTTTCATATATTTTTCCAATTCAAATTTGCAATTAACATTTATAACGAATCTGTCCTGCATGTACTTATTTAAAATCGTAAGAAAATGATTCCCGATTCCTCAAGTGAACTTTTATCAAAGAATGTCAATGATTCATTGAACAGATATCATAAAACCAATATCAATGTGCACAGGGTCGGGGTTTTCATATAGCTGTAGAAGATCTGATCGAAACCCCAGCAGACTCGAACACCTAATGAAGTTATCTGTTAAATGCCTGTATTTGAGCAATAACAGTACAAAAGGGACTTGGCCATATCCTCATAAACTTAATTTCCTTATCTGGTGACAAAGAACGTTGATGTAATTGATTTTTTTATTTAACGTAAGAGGTGCCAAGAACCATATCAAAAGGAGTCAGGCAAAGGAACAGGACTCTTGTGATTTTCCAGCACGGCATCAATCCATTTTCATGTTATAAAATAAAAATCAATTATACACTCATCTGTGTTAACAAGATTTTTTATGTTTAAATTTTATCTGTAATGAATCCACTTAAATGTGAGTGGATATAAAACCTACCCGCTAACCACACCCTATACGAGCCGTCATCATTAGGTTATGGAGGACTTACCTGCAATGATAATAGGCACACCGATATGGACAACTAGTGCTCCCTTCACTCTGTGTCCAGAGAAATAAACCGTGTTAGCTCCCTCCAAGTGCAAGTCAATAGCAGTCACAGCCATGGTCCGGTTATAGCGACTTGGTCAATATTTACATCAGTCATTTTTGTCAGACCCTGTACTCTGAGACGAACAGAGAGAGAACATCTTCATCTGAGCTTTATCGATCCGAGCGGATGCGTATTTGTAAAAATGTCAACAGCAGTCCGTGTTCCCTTTTTCCCAGTACATGTGATAAATCCAGAGAACTGAGTCCATAATATCTACTGCCGCTGTCTTCTTATGAAGGACATTTTTCACAAGCGTTCGATTTTTGCCATGAAACCTAATGAATGCTATGAACAGACGCTGAGCGCCATATTGGAAATCGTCGATCGATAGATTTGTCCTTCGATGAATTGTTAATTTCTGTTATTATCCTTTAAAAGACAGTCTAATCCCATTAAGTCCGTGTACCTCTGTTCATAGCTTCATGATTATATAATAGATTTACAGCAGACGTCTACTGCTGCTGCTGCACAAATGAAAACTAAATGACATCGATAATTGTGAAATTAATGAATGAGATCTCGATTGTTTTTCTATCGATTTTACTCTACGTTAGAAATGTTTGGATATGCGTGTCTTAGCTGCGTGACACGAGTTCATTTGAGCATCGTAAAAATACATGTGTTTAAAAATAATTTACGGAGTGATTACAGAGAATTCCCCTTTCGAGCGTAAGACAGTGTCAACACAAATCCCATATAAACAAAATATAATAATATCCATCATCCTGTCCGAGTTTTTATTTTCAAAGCAATATTAGTACGAGGAAAATTACCATTCAAATACAATTGTACAAGAACTACTTCTCTGTACTCCATCTGGGGATATTAAACCTCACTTTTTTTGTATATTTTGAAATATGCATAATGAAAATGTGGAATAAAAGATTTTTTCATCCTAAAATAAAATATTAAAAAATCTTTGTTCTGAAAACACTTATTGATAATATTCAAAAGAATCAAAAAATGTAATTTAAACATAAACACGGAGAAAAATACACCAGGGATTATTTAGTGTAACGGACACTGATAACAAAAGGAACATATCCAAACTATAGAATTTTTTTTCCTTATACATGTATATGATTTTTTAACTACATTTTTTTGTTTACTTGTTATCTGGAAAGAATTACATGAACAGGGTGACAGTTATCCTGTATCAATACCACACGCACAGTTGTAACCATTGGAATTTCTACCTTCAAACAAATATAAATAGATTCTTAATTTCACTGATATGACAAGCAATACAGTTTTACAGACCCACTTCAACGGCGAGACTAAAATTATAAATTAGCAAAGACAATCTTCTTTAACAGGAAATAATAGCAGACATGTGATCTACATGTAAAAAGTTGGTGTTGCTGCAATTAAAAAAGCCAAGTTAATGAGGGTTTGCATATACATGATTTGTTTCACTGTAACTTTAATTTCACACTATACAGAGAATATCAATTGTTGGTGTATATATATATATATATATATATATATATATATATATATATATATATATATATATATATATATATATATATATATATATATATATACATGTATATATATATATATATATATTTTAAAAAAAGGGGCATTGATTTTTCTAACTCTATGTATATAAACAAAAATAATAAATAGTAAAACCAATATAAATAACAAATACTAAAATGTGTTATCAAATAGACCTAAGTAAACACGGATGAGACTAAAGTCATGAAAAAAGGATACTTTGATTTGATTTGATCATATATTGTAATTTATACATGTATATATATATATATATATATATATATTTTAAAAAAAGGGGCATTGATTTTTCTAATTGTAAAATATTTCAAATTCAAATAACAAATCAAGTAAAGAAATATAGTCTCTACTTTACTGTGAAAAAGGACGTTAAGAGGGTGAGAAACCAGGAAAACCTACTGTATATTTTTTGTATAAAGAAAATTTTACCATCGAAACGTATATGCTTATAAAATCTATTGAATTCAGAAAAACTGTATAATTATTCCGAGTAAATGCACATGACCTAAGAAAGAGGTACATGAAGATATGAATTTGAGGGGAAAATCCCCCAGAAAGAAATAAATGGTATAATATAATGCAGATACTTTGTATACACTATATATAAATTTGCGAATGATATGCGTTTGATCTCCCTATATGCTGCATCTACATAAAGTTAGTAGTTATTTCATGTTGCTTAATGCGCATCATTCCTTTCCATTAATTGTCCTTTTTGTCAACTCTTTTCCTCTGAATGATTCTGCTCCGTTTGATTTTCAACTTATTAAACTCAAACAAGTATTAGAATCGAAAATGAACCTATGCTAAATAGTTATAGTTAAAGGAATAAACTTAAGTTATATATCGCGAAAGTTTTACAGGTTTAGAGCCATTCTATGTAATAATTTACAATATTTAATTACAAATTAAAATTATCAATAATAATAATATTATTTACAATGATTTTAATGCATAATGGTACAGGAACCTTCTGTAATATACAATATTGTAAACACTAATTTAATGCTGAAAATGGAATTAGGTAAAAAACAAACAAACAATTATTTAATGCCTGAACAGTCAATAGACCAGAAAATTTTTCCTTTGGTGCAGGGAACAGCTCAATGTGTTCTATTGCCCTCGATCGGCCGTTGGCCTCGGGCAATAGAACACACTGAGCTGTTCCCTGCACCTCGGGAAAAATATTCTGATCTATTGACTGCTCAGGCATTAAATAATTATATATTATATAGGAGCTGTGGCACGCATAGTCTCAAAATTTCTCCAAACTCTCCAAAAAATTGGTTGCTATGTGATTCAAAGAAGTTGAAAATCTCATTTTTTCAAACTTTCCCGGCTTTTCATATAGCATTTAAGACACATAAAAACCAAATTTTATTTGATACATGTTTCTAGTGTCTTCTTGTTATATTGGACAAAGTTTCATCAAAATCGGTGCCCATGCGTGCCAAAACGTTTAAGGTTCATTTATACTCTGATAAGAGAGATAACTCTTAATGGGGTAAATGTCTATTATTCCTTTATAAATTTGTCAAGTTCAAATGTCTTTTTAATTTAATTTTGCCCCGCAAGCTACAATATCATTGTTTGTATTTCACTTATAAAATACATTTTTTTTTAAAAAAATCATATGAATTAAAGTAACATTTAATCTGAGTGAACAGAGGGTTTATGTACGGTACCTTAAATGGTTACAGACAATATCTCTTAAGATATTGCGTTATGATTCGTTTTTCTTTTCTTTAATTTCATTTAACTATATCTTCTTTTTTATTTCAAATACAGATTTTTTACCAACATAGTAAGATACATAGATATTAGAATGCAAAGTATAGATTTATATGAACAGAAACGCATACAAGACCGTGTTTGTGAGATTACAAAAGTAACAAATACAGGAAAAAGAGAGGGAAAAACCATAAGTTATGAATGCGAGAACAACATCATGACAACTACTGATACCGGCGTTTATTGTTTTTTGATACCCCCCCCCCCCCTAACTAGATTCTAACAAAAATTGTCAAACTGTACATGTTAAAGAGACTGGGGGGTTGTGGCCATTTTTAGACTATATTGATCTCCTTTAGAAGAAGAGCTCCATATGAAGATATAGAAAATGATCAAATTTTAAAACTAAAATTTTTGAAATTTTTCTTTGCCAAATGATAGTTGACAGCTTAAGATATCATATCTAAAAAAAATTAAGTTAAATCTGGTGGTTAATTTGTTGACCCCCCAGCCTCCTTAAGTTTATTTCTTATTTTAGCTTAAAGTAATGCCGCATGACTACAATTTTACTCCTCGTCATTTGTAGATCAAAAAATCTTATATAAGTTATTTTCTGTCATATCCTGCTTATGCAAGTTATTGATGTAACCTTGTAAACATCGCCTGCAAAAAGAAATCGAAGATTTATCTTTCTTTCTTTGTTTTGTATGGAAACATTACGTTATTGTTAAGTAACTGGGCCCCGTTTTACAAAAGATCTTACAACTAAGACCAAAATGTAATTTTGCATATAACTTTCTTTTATACATAAGTATGAAACTAAAGTTTTAATATTTTTAAAAAGAATTTAGTATGATATATCTATACAGGCAATTTCTAATAAAATCATTAATTTTGTAAGATTTTACAATTACCTAAGTTTTTGGTCTTAGTCGTACGTTCTTTAGTAAAACACGGATTTGGCGTTTTGGTCCAACTGCCTTACATTGCCACAAGCAATCTGATTAAAATCAGATCCTTTGATCCACTCACATAGATCGCTACACAAGGATCTGATCCTTGTGTAGCGATCTATGTGAGCGGATCAAAGGATCTGATTTTAATCAGATTGCCACATGGTACGACATCAAGCTATTAACAGGTATAGTAGATGTGCTTACATTAAGAGAATGTCGTAACTAAACATGTAGTGGTTATGGCGCCATATTTATGCCAACCAGATAATTTTTGCCAAAATAAAATATCAAGTCTTGTCAAGATAACTATCCCGTCTGGTTTAGTCGACAGCGTTTACTTATCTATCTCTAGTCAAGATAATTTATCACATTTTATTGCTATAGCTATATCGACATGATGAGATAATTTATCACATTTTATTGCTATAGCTATATCGACATGATGAGATAATTTATCACATTTTATTGCTATAGCTATATCGACATGATGAGATAATTTATCACATTTTATTGCTATAGCTATATCCACATGATGAGATAATTTATCTTGATTCAGAACTACTAGTATATTGTTGCATTGACAAGTACTGCCAGTCCGTGACCAGCTGGTGAACACCAACAATTTAGCCTAAATGCGAGTGATTTAATTGAATTATTTACAAATCGGTGGCACTTCAAAATTAAATGGAAATATGAAAAGGAAGAGGAATTTGTAAAATATATATATATATATATATATATATATATATATATATATATATATATATATATATATATATATATATATATATATGTGTGTGTGTGTGTGTGTGTGTGTGTGTGTGTGTGTGTGAGGGTGTGTGTGTGAGGGTGTGAGTGTGAGGGTGTGTGGGTGTGGGTGTGTGTGTGGGTGTGTATGTATGTATGTATATATATATATATATAGGGCATTTTCGTACCATCTTATATGTACATGACAGAGGCTACCCGAAAGCGCACAGGCTCGCTCTAATAATCTAATTTTAAACCGTGACGTTTAAACACAAAGATTGCACCACAGGCCGGCAATGTAAATGAAAACTATTTAAACGGACAGAACAACAATTCTTTTTCTAACACAGGCGGAATCACCGACATAAGCAACATCAACAAAGAAGTAAAACACTATATACAACTGACTTCTTTCAAAATGGTGCATAAAACAACAAAGTGTGGAGTTCACTCAGGGAATACCCTGCGTGCGTCACACAGCAAGTAAGTTTTGTTAATGATGTAGACTGGTAGATCAAATAAAGTAAGGCCTAGATAAAGTAAAACAAAAAAAAATATGAAAAAATATTTTTAAAAAAATACAGAAATTGAGAGAATAAATGTTTATAAAAAGTAACATACAGATGTAAATTTTCAAAATTTACATAAGCTTAGAAATAGAGTTTTGTGAAAGACTTGGCACTGCTTAAATTATTGCAGCAAATGGTGGAATCTCCATTTTAGATATTCTTTACGTTTTCATTAAAGCTTCGAGTAAGCACACGGAAAGTATTTTGTATATCAAGAAAATGTATTAAATTACTTAATACATACCAAGTTAAATAAGACTTGAAATGCAAGTGGGCTTTTTCTGGAAGGGGAGGGGGGGGGGGGCAGGGGGTATGTCCAAATAAAACACCTCGCAGCTAGGGAACTGAATGTGCATTCAAATGCAAGGAAACTTTGCTAGTTCTTTGGGGGGGGGGGGGGCTGTTGAGGGAATTTTCAATATCCTTTACATTTTTTTGAACCATTCATTTACAAAGTACAGGCCATTAGTAAACGGCTTGTGATTTAATGTTAATGAGCGACTGGGAATTGGGAAATTCAAACTATTTATTGATAGGTTTTGATACCTGTACATGTATAAAATTATCCAAATGAATAGTAACTATAATTATTTTTCCGTCTTCTTCCAGATATACCAAGACGTATAGAAAACAGTCCTGTCTTGTAAGAAAAGTTAAGAATTCCACTAATCTTCGCCTTCTACAGGACTTTGGCATTGCCACTGACGACGTGGCCTACTCCCTCAGTAAAAAAGGTCGCTGGGTCCTGCCTACAGTCCTCAAGGAACACATACTCCTCGGGGGATTCAGCGAGGAAGGGCCTAAAGTTCAACTCACCGAAAAACACAAACTAAGAAAAACAGCCAACTGCCTGGGATTTTATGCTTCTAAAGGACCAACCAGAAAAGCTGTACCATCTAAAAAGCGGTATTTCAATGTTTCAAGTGTGAAGAAAGAACCCCAGTTGCCTAGTAAGGAAAAAGAGAAAGTAACAGAAGATAAAGCAGTCAATGAATGTTTGGAACCCGAAATAAATGTTGAAATTTTCCTACCAACTCCGATCACAAGCTCTCTCACTCACAACCAAAAATACATCAGACCGCTTCACGATACCGATGTACAACTCAGTACAAAGAAACAGAAAGGAAAACGGAGACATTGTATGCAGTTAAAGTTTGACGTGGTAGATAGCTACGAAGATGATATTTGGGAAGAGGACGAGGAGATTGATGGTTACGATGATGACCTCTTTCAAGCCGAGTATCAGCGACCCCAGAGTTTCTTTACAGCTGCTGATGTTCTCAAATCAGCACAAAAAACCAAACAGATCTTTGAGAAGTCGACCAAAAAAATGAACCATAAACACAGCGAGGATGTGAGAAACAAAAAAGGCAAACTTGTGTATGTCGACGAACCTAATCCCACATCAGAACCGACGTGTAATAAAACAATCGGAATAGATTTTTTATATTCTAGACAACCGCAACAAATAATGGTTCCCAAGAAAGTGGTTTTGCCAAACGCAGAGACAAGACCCGAATTCTTGAAATTCAGATCTGGTAAAATGTATATGGAATGTAAGACATTTCCTCGTTCTTTCATCATAAACATAACAGATGAGGTAAAATCTATGATGAAACAGCACATCCGAATGATGTACAAGGCATTCTTGATGGACATAACTACAATCCTGATTTTCACTCATGATGTTTACAAAGCTTCCTTGGACGGAGAAGAGATATTCGATGTATACATGAATGTTAATATTGACTCAGAAACTATAGAGTTAGAAACCCTTTTTGATTACTATGCTGGGTCATTGGAATCTGTAATTAGCCAGGCTGTATCTCAAATCAAGTTTTATACGCAAGAACAATTTGCAAGGCCTAAAGTCTACCTAAAAGGAGAAAGTGAGACGGCATATAATGCTTTAAATTCGTGTTTGCTCCAAGGAGCGTCCACTTTAACTGAAGAAGATGCTTTTACTGAAGCTGTATTGAGTACCATAGAAAGATATGAAGTAAACAAACACTTGGATGTGGGATGTAAGTCTTTTCCACCAGAAACATGTTACATCTGCTTTGAGGCAATGAACGAGAACAGACCAGGAATCGCGATGGAGCGCTGCGGCCATTGGTTTTGTAGAAGTTGCTGGAGAGAACATCTAAAGCAACAAAATTTTTCCAAGCTTCTGTGCCCTGAATTTGATTGTGAGAAAGAAGTGGACTTCACACTTATTTTACAAGTTTTGAACATTACCGATGTCCGGAAATACTTGATTCGGCAGAAGGAAAATTTAGCACGGAGTCAGTGCAAATACTGTCCAAACGAAAAATGTGGTCGTGTCATCTCAGCATCTTTAACTAATATTAATCACACCAATACCACATGCGAATGTGGAACCGAATTTTGTTCCAATTGCTTCAAGTTTCCTCATTGGCCTGCTACATGTGAAACATCCCAAGAATATTGGAATTTTTTGAGGGGAAAGGGAATTGATATAGAATTCAGTATTGATGATATTTCATCCACCGAGCTCCAGGTGCGGGGAAAAAATTGTCCGAATTGCAATCAATTTATTGAGAAACAGGGTGGGTGTTTCTCGGTGGTATGTGTTTGTGGCATTTGCTTCTGTTGGGGATGTCGTGGAATTTTTAGAGTAAATCATCAAGTTAGTGATCTCTGTCATCGTGAGAAACATGGAGACCTTCATCGTACAACTAAAAAATACATTGCTGCAGATCTACTCCTTCCAATGAAAATGAAAAAGGAACCGAAACTCATTCAAGTTGCTGTAAATCAACGTGTAGGAAGAGCACACTCGAGAACATTACTTATGAAAAGTAAAACTCATTCTGTGCGTCTCAAAATTCGAACTCTTGGACTGAAATCGTCATTAAAAATTGCAGGCTTATTGGCAGGATACAAGTCAAAAGAGAACAGCCTTTTGTCCAAAGTCCATGGTTTTCTACAAGATATGATTAAGCTCTACCTTGAGATTCGCCATCTTGCCGAATATACTGCCGTCTCAGCAGTTCACGAGAACGGTCGGTCACAGAAACTCTCTAACTCCTTTATTGAGCACATGGATGATTTAGCGTCACAAATTTACACCGAATTTCAGAGTGATGTCAATGATTATGTTCCTAGTCTGATACACCGAATGCTAATCATCAGGGAGCACTGTTTACATACCGTGTCAGAACTAGTCAAATTTATAAAAGATAAGAATCTTGATTAGCAGCTTTCTATTCTTCTGAATGGGTGTTATATTGCTCATCAGTTTTAGGTAAGTCCAACTCGAAAGGCGTCATTTTTAGTAATTTTTACAATGGATTGAAAATGTATAATGATCATAATCAGAGAATAAAACAATTATCACAGATCTTGTTCTAACCATTTTGCATTAATAGCATGTCTTAATGGTTTTGATTTCAACTACATTTACCTCTGAAAATGTTGTTTTTATACATACATTGTAGCATGTACTATTCATACAGTGATTATATGATATACACACTTTATAATTTAGTTTATATTTTAATTATTAACTAACACCAGGAGAGGCACTTGTAAATAATCAGAACTTGTTTTCGATCCTTTTGTGCATCACAATAAAATATGTTCAACTCAATATAGTTTTTCTCTTTTAAGTAGTTAAAAAATGCAATTCTTTAGTTAAAGAGTGTTAGATTGAGATTCAGAATCTGCAGCATGAAGATAATACAAATTCAATTATCTGTGAGTAGTGATGCGTTATTTCATAAAAATGTATTTATTACTATTTGTATTTTATGCCCCCGTAATCGAAGATTCGGGGGTATATAGTTTTTGCCCTGTCCGTCCGTCTGTCTGTTTGTCCGCAAAATCTTTAACATTGTCAATCACTTTTGATTGGTTGGATATATGGCTTTCATATTTCACATGTATATTCCTTGTGACAATACCTTCCTTTCGGTACCAACATATTTGACTTTGACCTACTTTAGCAAAAATTTACCCAACTTTAACTTTGGCCATAACTTTCAAACAGTTGGTGCTAGGGCTTTCATACTTCACACGTGTATTCATCGTGAACAGACCTTTCCATGGGTTTAAATATTTTTTACCTTTACCTTAGAGTTTGACCCACTTTAAAAAAAATTTAATCTTGACCATAACTTTTCAACAGTTAGCACTAGAGCTTTCATATTTCACAGGTATATTCCTTGTGACATGACCCTCCTTTGGATACCAACAATTTTGACCTTTACCTGGTGTTTGACCTACTTTTGAAAAAGCATCCACATCATTTTTTTTTTTCAACAAGATGTGTTTGCCCCCGTATGGCAGCTTAAGGCGAAGATTAAAGTTTCTCAAATGCAAGTCAAACTCCAAGGTCTCGAGATCAAACATGTTACCCAAAGAAAGGATTTGTGTCATTGGATTTACCTGGTAAATACAAAAGTCCAAGCACCAACCGTTCAAAAGCTATCGTCAAGGTTAATGTTTTCTAAAACTGGGTCAAACTCCAAGGTCAAAATTAATAGTGCACAGGGGAAGGCCTTGTCATAAGAAAGAAACTTGCAAAACATATAAGCCCTAGCACCAACTGTTCAAACGTTATGGCAAAGGTTAAAGTTTTTCAAAAGTATGCTGATTCTACACAAGTATTCCAAAGTTGATAATGAAAAGATGTTTGAGTTTCTGATTGACATTTCAACGTAGTTATTGGAGTTCGTCTTCCAACAATCTTTTGGAATTCCCATGGGTAATAATTGTACCCCATTATGAGCAGACCTGTTTTGTATTCATATGAAGCATGGCCTTCCATTCCATGTTTAGATATATGGACGATAGGGCTGGGTATCGGTTGGGAATTTCGTATTGCGATATTTTAAACTGTATTGCAATATTTTTAATAACAGTTAAAATGCTCTTTTCTCATTTTATTAACCTCCATTTATAAGCAGAATGTATAAAACTTTTATAAATATGTTGTAAAAAAGTTCTAGTTGACTTCACTTAAACGAAATACAACCATACAACAGAAACCTTTACTGTTTGGTACCCTTTGGCACGATTGAAAACGTTTCTGACATCTCAAATTTCATATTTTTCTTTATAAATCTAAAGACCAAGCATTTTGCCGGTATATCGGTACTGGAAAACGTATCGAAATGCGATATTTTTTGTTAACGAACCGCAATATACCGGAATATCGATATTATTGCACAGCCCTAATGGACGACACTATCATTTTTACGTTGATTCGATATATCCCTTTAAACTCTAAACAAGACCCACCGAGTCTGACACGTCTGAATCACAGTTTACTAGAGAAAGACGTAAATGATAATCTAACAACTTTATGATAAACGTGACTTCAATTTTTCCATCGTCAACTTCCCTTATTTATGTAGCAATTATCACCTGCATATTGAATTTATGTCTCCCAGCTGATTTGATATGCAAGAGCATAATCTACATACGAATTATTTCTAAAAGGAGGCAAGCTATTGACAAATAAGTTGACGATACAAGGATATATAGTCTCCTATAGTCAACATTTTACAAATTCTCTGGTCGATACAATGACAATGTTAGCAAATACAATCTAAGTTGAATGCTGACTGGCGTTTTTCATACAAATTGTAATGCATTTATTTTTACACTGAATTGTCTACAGATTTTTCCGTGTGACTGGTCGACAGGGGATGTTTACTCCTCCATGGCACATAAATCCACCTCACGTGTTTGCTCTGCTCCCCCTTTGTATAGTTCAAATGAACTTCAGAGCTTCTCAATACAATTATTTCATCAAACCTTTTACTTTTCCAATATCTCCTATTCCCTGTGTCAAATTTTCTTCATATCATGGTCAGACATAAAATGCAATGCTGAAATAATAAGCACCACTTCATACCTCGTGCTGTTTTCCTTTTGAATCTATTGCTATAGTTGTTGATGGAAACTAATGTTTAGAGTTAAACTTTTTTGTGAAATTTCGAGCAGAGGGTCATTACCCCTTTAATACAAGTGGGCAAACCATGAATTTTTGACCTGACCTTGTTACTAAAATAAGACAGCCAATTTCAACTGATATGATACTTAGAGATATTGTCTTCTTGATTGTGTGTTTCATGAATTTTTAAATACAATAAGGGAAGAATCCATCCTTAACTTACAGATGTTTTTTTTTTTTTTTTTTTTTTTTTTTTTTTTTTTTTGCCAACTTTGGTTAATATTGGTTCTCAAAAAGAAGTAGAAAATGTAAAAAGTTTACAGAAGGACGCCAGACAACAGGTGATCAGAAAAGCTCACTTGAGCTTTCAGCTCCTGTGACCTAAAAGAAAAGGTTCAGAAGAGGGAAGAAATTGTCTTTTATTTAAAATTAAAATCATTCAAATCACTCAGATTAATACTCAGCAAAAAATAAATAAATAAATAAATAAATAAATAAAAATTCTGATTTATCAGTTAAATCAAATCTTTTCTTAAAAAAAAGACAACAAAAACAGTGGCAATATCCATTGAATTCAATATTACGCATGTAAATCTAGAATGAACCATCTTTAAATATATTTCTTCTTTATGCGTCTTACAACAATTCTTGCAATAACTCAGTATACTTGATTTTGACTTGTCTCTATCTTACATGAAATACAAACAATGAAATTGAGTGCAATTGAACATACATGAAAGCTTGAACATGGAGCTTCTGTATATCATAGAAAATTAATGCCAATTTATGAACTAACAGAAGAAATGGACTTCGTAGAAAATTGGAAAAAAATGTACATAAGGATCTGAATTTTCAATTGTACTTCTGATGGCCAATACAATGTAACTGATATTAAAGTTCCTCCCGATACTGAAATTCCATTTATTAAATTTTAATATAAAATATATTTAAAGAAAAAATGGCAATATACATATATTCCTAAAATTTTAAATTTTGAATTTTCTGGTGCTATTGGTATGTTTTGTAAACATATAAAACAAATGAAAAACTATACAACTGAGTAAAATAACTAGTTCAAAATTTTGTTCATTAATATGTTGTTTTTTAATGATTAAAAATTGAAGATGCTTTCTAAAGAAAGAAAGAAAATAAATTGTATTTTTGTATATCTTTCAAAATATCAACCTGAAATAAACACTTCCCATTTTCCCTACATAGTTTTGTGTTTGCTGCATATAGTGGAGGGGACCCTCCAGTGATTTCCCCCCATCATTTCTCAAATATTAAGCACAGTAAAGTACTCTAAGAACATGTTTTAAGAAAAATGGGAGTTGCATCCCTGAGACCGACATGAGTATTACTTGACATAAAAAAAGATGTCTGCATGACTTCACAAAAATCTAACTAGAACTGTCCAAAAGGGACAAATACCCCCCGCTGGGTTTTTCAGAGAAGGTACCAAATCACTAATGTTTTCTAGATGTGAGAGGTGTTCACAATGTGCTTAAACATTTAGAGTGAAAATTTAATTACTCATTATTATATTTTTTTTAATGAATGAAACTAAGGTGCAGCCTAATAAAACATCAATACTAGTATTTACAGTGTTTTTAATTACACTGAAAAAATAGTTTGCAACTATCTGTCATCTTTGTGAGACATGACACTCTGCAAATTGATTGTTGAAAAAAAATATCATAATTAATTATACAAAATCAAATTGATCTTAATACCTTTATATCAAACTCATTTTAAAAATAAAAGGCTGGTTCCAGTAACTAAGTATTTTGACAGACATAAATTACAATTTAGAGACTTAGACAACAGAGATCTTTATTTCTTTCTGCCCAATTCCCAGGAGATATAGATAAGAACTGCTTGATCAGAGATGCCCTAACAGCTTCCCACACTGAACTCATTAGTTAATCTTTAACTGGATGCATGTCCACTCATTACTCCCAAGGGACAAATGGATTTACACTATCTGCTGTGTAATGTAAAAACTGTTTTTAATACTTTGTGATTTTTTTTGTACAGATGTTCTAGATTCTATGTCTCAAACCTTAGACATGAACCCAAAATGACTAAGTCAATAAAAATGAAAAAAAAACACCTGTAAAATGCAGAAAAATTATCAAATAATGTTGAAAATACCAGGTGCACATCTTCATATGGTAAATAATAAATGTACAAATTTTCATACAAATCTATGCAATAGTCTCTGGGAACAGATCAGGACAAAACCACATAATAAAAATGAAAAAAACACCCGTAAAATGCAAAAAAAAATTATCCAA